ACAGGCCAAGACTAGAGGACAGCGCGTGGAGGGTCACGATAGAGGTGTAAAAACAAAGTGCAAGCCAAGCCCTCTATAAAAAAAGAAGCCTTCAACGAACAACAAATGTAAAAACAAGCTCCCTACAGCTAAAGCCGCGGTTTGTAGGTTCTGGAATCTCGTCCAATCAGGCTGACAAACGGTTGAAAGAGTTAGGTAGAGCGAACACTAAATAATGAAGATTTATACAAAAAGGTAGACGATGATTGGGAGAAGGAAGAGCAGTGTAGCAACAACAGTTGGAAGTAACGCAGGTTGAGTCGTATTAATGAGACCTGCTGCTTCTTTGCTTCTTCGCCTCGATGTTAGAGTAGCACGACTTACTGTTAGTGGTATCAACATACGAGATAGAGGAGAAGGACGTGAAAAACTCATAAAGAAAAGAGAATAATTTCATGAACAAAAAAGTTCCAAACTTGACTGAAATATGTAAGCGAATATGCTAGCGGCGAAGACGCGTAAGGAGAACCTCGAACCTCCCCGCCTCGACCGGATATGTGATCGGAGCCAACCAGCTCGACTTCGACCTCCGATGCCCCCGTGTGGGAATGAGAAATAAGAAAGACCCCTAGAAGCAGGAGCAACAGGAAGCAAACGAGAAGAAGAGTCAGATTTAACTACGACAGGAACGAAAACGGACGCGTATGTAGCCCTCATTTATCAAATTATTTCTCAAATTCTTCATTAAATCGTTTTACGTCTACGAAATCCTTCATTCCGTTCTATCCCAGCCTCTCTTTCCCATCCCTCTTTTCCCTCCTTTTGAGCAGGTTGGGAGACACTCTCTCCCAGTCGCTTTGGCTGTGCTGTCGTCTCCGTGGCCAAGGGGGAAATGCGCCGCCTGCCACAAAATCTTGCAGAAGTAATTGTAATTGTGCCTGAAATTTAGCAATTACTGACGCTAGAAAGTAATTAAATTACAATTACAATTCCTTTTAGCCAAAAGTAATTATTACAATTACAAATTACCAGGAAAAGTAATTAAATTACAGTAATTCAATTACTGTAATTGAATTACTACCCAAGTATGCTGGAAAGCAAAATGAAAAACGTATCCTTGCTCCACATTTCGGATGGCGAGCTTGAGGCATTTTGAGAAAGAAAAACACTAGAGTGGAAGGATGCCAAAAGGGTGCCTGGAATCCAGTCGCTTCCCATGTGGAAGTATGAAAAATCGGACCAGGAGAATTCCGTGTACGTGGCACGCAGCGCGGACTCCGAGTGGAAGAAGCTCTAGTCCCCTGAACGTGTTCTAGTAGATTGCTTGAGTCACCAAACCAGGCTGCGACCGAAAATATTAGGGACTCCTCTCGTCAAATTACCCGGAGACCGACCCAGGCGTACATCACAATTTACAAATTCCTATTCCCTTCAGTATAAAAAAAGACTTCGCGGGACAAACGGTTCGAAGGCCTTCCTGCACGCACCCTATCCTGCACCTGGTTTGATATATCGCGCTTCCAACCACGCTGCTTTCGTCTCGCGCGAAATGCGACCTGGTTGAACACGAAGTCTGCTCTGGACTTGCATAGAGCCGTGAAATTCAACCTGCGGAAAAGAGGATCGAGCCCGGGAAAAGCGACGGTGGCGGGCGAGGTCCGTGCTGGGCAAGCCTTCGAAAGAGGTGTGTGTGTGTGTGAGTGTGTGGCTGGCCTCATCGAGCTGCCCACTAGCCCACCGTGGAATCCACCGGCACCACCCCCTTCGAACAATGCAACGGAAGAGGCCGTAACTCCCGTACAGTGAGAGATTAGACACTCCTCCATCCGCTCGCTCCTCAGTATTGCAATCTGGTTGGTAGTACTTCCTGATTTTAGGAGTTCAACTTTCAATTGTCTAGTTTTTTTTTCTTCTCTGTATTCGCTAGGTATTTTTGCGTTTTGCCACCCGCGCACTGGCAGGGTGAAGTAATAAGACAATTTACTGACACGTTTTAGGACTTATGAACCCCATTATGTTATTTCTGTTTCTATTTAAATCATCGTTGTAATGAAACTCACATTATTTTAAAACTTGTGTTACGTCCTCTTCATTGGCAAGGCCTCACCGCGGTGTAGGCCGGTCGTCTGGTCAGCAGATCTATTTCTTTTTTTCTGTTAATAGTAAACCATGAACCTGTGCGCGTTGTGGACTTACGGCATTCGGTGGCGGCGCTGGCTGATTCTCACCAAGAGCATTCTAATTGCAAATAAACGCCTGCAGGTTTTTGCAATCTGACCCTCTTGGAATTTCATAAAAATATTTTCCCAGACCGATAACTCTCTCGCCCCCCCCTCTCTCCCCCCCCCCCCCCCCCCCCCTTATCCCAGTCACAGATCATGACTTTTCTGATCGCGGATGAGGCGTCGCAAGAGATATTGTTCGAGCAACTTAAATAGAGCCTGACCGCACACTTGGCTGCTGCTTCCGACACTGAACCGCTTACGCTACCTAAATCCCCTCTAACTCAGTCTTGATTTCGACTCATTCGATATTGTTTTTCGAGACATCACCTGTTATCGTTCCGCCCTAGCCACGCCCGCCATCGGCCGGGTCAGAAGCTTCCGCAATGTCGCTCGTTCGAAGCGATGCCTAGGGAAATTCATCAAACTATTTTATCAGCAAGCTTTCGAGCGATTCCCAGAAATACGAGTAAAATTATTTTGTCAGCCAGTATTAAAGTACTAACTTGAAATGGTAGCACAATGAATATCTGACCAGCCAAGGCAAGAATAACAGCCTCATATGGATCGGACGCGCCGCAACGTTCAGTTTTTATTGGCAATATCAGCCACATCAGCGATGAAACCAAGTTCGCGTGCTATTTTGTATAGTGTTTCATGGGCGCCTGGGCATTAATATGACCAAGTACGGATACTGTGGCATGCGTCGTTCGTGTACCACTAGTCATTCAGACAGAAACGCCCGAGCGGTAATTCATGCGACTATGACCTAGTTATACATTTATTTTGTTGTTTTAAAACAAAATAATGCAACATGTTTTTGCATATTTGTAATTACCGGTAATCAAGGGCCCATCGGGTAAAATTTAAAGAAAATCGAGAATGCTTATTTTTTTTTAATTTTCAGGCGAAAATCGCAAATTTTTTTTTGACTTTTTGAATTTTGACGAAACTTCCAGCCGCAATGCAGATAACTTTCAACAGTAGAACGCTAATTCATTTGTTTAAAAGTTCACAAAGCACGAAACACTCGACGCAAAATATTGCAGCATTAGAATATAAATTTAAAGCCGCCTAAAAATTCGTCGAAAAATGCCTCATAATGTAAGATTTGCTCTAAAAGCCAAGTTTGGCATTTTATTTCGCTTCAAATATATTCTCATATAAGTTAACTTCAACTAAATCGGGCAGTAGAGTATGCGTACATTAAACGTAAAAAATTTGAGGGTGTAAGAAGCTTCATTTTTTATTCCTCCGGGCTTCAAATTTGCGTCATCGCACAGTTGGGAAAATTGTTTTTTCAACCTTCTCTCGCATTCGATTTTTCTCGCGAATATAAGAAAGTATCTCGCAAAAGTAAGGTCTGTCCTGTTGTGTGGACAAGGTTCGCTACCTAACATAAAAATTAATTGAAAAGAAAAAATAGGCATGACACCACCATGACCGTTCTTATCTGAACACACCCACGAGTAAGTCAATGTCTATGTCACCGACAATCCCCACTCCAGCCCGTTTCAATGTGGCTAAGCATCGTATTGGCGTGCGGTTGCGTACCACTATACTGCGCGGCGCACGTAAAGACCCGAGGCTATAGCAGTTGTACGGCGCTGGCTGTATTTCTCATCTACAGCTGAGACACCCGACGACCAACAAGGCTGAGGAACTTCCGGCTGTATAAACAGACAACACAATTCTTATTATTCTTTCTTGTATTATCCATTTATCTTGTAGTTATTATCGGGTATCCTGTTTTATAAGTTGTCCTTTGTTGATCCCGAGTTGTCTCCTTGTATCCCCTCCTAATTGGGCCCTTTTAATCTGATCAGACGAAACAATAAAAAAATAAAAATAAAACCATTCCGTACGGTGCGCGAAATGCGCAAGCTAACAAAAAAGCAACACAACAAAAACGACCAAATCAAATCTCTTTTAATCGATATCCTTTTAGCTAGAACGTTCGCACATGTACTCTTAGATTTTTCCACATGGTATACTGCACGATGCACTGAAAACGCCAATCACTAACCTTCGTTTAATAAGTCCAACCAATGAGGACGGCAATTGGCTCAATCCTCCGATGTGCATGCAGTCTCCGTGCAACATGTAAGGTGTCTGCTTCTTTTGCGACTGATCTGGCCCGTTCGTAAAGAAGCATTTAGTACGTTGTTTTTTATGTTACGGGAGCTTACATCTGCTTACGTTGGTACTCGGGAGTCACCGGTACACCCGTGATTTGTATGAAGCATGACGTTTGTGCTGTTGAAGCCCATTGGTTAGTATAAGCTTTGCTTGCTTTGTTGTATTTTGCTCAGCATGTTGGCCAACCCATCTGAGAAAATATCCATTCTTATAGTTTCTTTTCCCCTTCAAGTACGTGTTGCTTTTGTTTTTTGTATATCTCACAAAAACTATATATCCTCTCCAATCATAATCCCACGAGGAATTATTTAGTATATTGAAAAATAATAAATTAGTAGCTTTTCAAGGGAACATTCGTGTATCCAGTGTAACACTGGATGCACCAATGATCCCGTGATTCGTAATGTAAGAAATAGTAAGCAAACGCTCCTGGTGTGAATGGACCTTGAGACAGCTTGCCCGTTTGGGCGTGATAGCGATCGACATTCTCGTTGATTGAACTAATCAGTGGAAGACCAAGGAATGAGGTTTCGAGTGCATCGCGGTGAAGTATCCGCGTGGGAGCTTCTGAGAGCGTAGCGCATACGAGTGAAGAGCTTTCGTTTGTGGTATTGGCAGCGACTCGATGAAGCCCGCGTGACCCCGGCACGACTTTCCAGTTGAACGGGGCTTTCCCTGTCGCACGGCGGTTGGCATCAGGGTTTGGCGAACCCGATGACTCCGCAGGTGAGTCGGCCTCCGGCGTTGCCCGTCGACAGGCTCTCCGGGTGATTGGTCCTGCCCAGGTCGTCCTGACGCTCGTGTACCTGCGTTCACCGGTACCGGGGACGAGAATGGAGTCTATAAAAGGGATTTTTCTGTTCGTGCATTGCGAGAATGCACGCTCCCGGGGCATGGACCATCGAGTCGAATCAAGGAGGGGATAGTGAAAAAATTGTAAGGGTGCAGGCGAGCTGGTGGAAGTTAACCATAGTTTTGTTTAACCCGAGACTGGGGCAATTCGGAAAAGGGACGAGAAGAAAAGAGGCCACAAGGAGGCGACGTCTCAAACGAGAAGAAAAGAGGCCACAAGGAGGCGACGTCTCAAACCCAGCTGGGTTTGAGACGTCGCCTCCTTGTGGCCTCTTTTCTTCTCGTCCCTTTTCCGAATTGCCCCAGTCTCGGGTTAAACAAAACTATGGTAAACCAAGGAGGGGAGTAAGCGAGAGTTTATTTCGTATGAAATTGATAGGTCAAATTTTGGGGGTTTTACGTGTTAAGCAAACGAAGGTCATTCATCTAATAGATGGAATGCATGGGATTGACATCTAATAATAGGAAAGCGAAATTTGGATGTCTATCCCATGCATTCCACCGGGCGAATGAATAAAATTGACGGCCCCCTCCTCACCGCTGGAAGCAGCCGAGGGTCGAAGCGCATGCGCTCGCGCTTCTCACTCAGCGCCGTGGGCTGATTGGCTCACTCAGGCAAGCGGCGTTACGGCGCCGAAATTATAAACTGGCCGTGCTCTCCCAATAAACGGCCCCATGGGTTACTTTAGAGTTACTGTATAGTCTCCCTACGGGAGCCAGAGTTGCGCGTTCATCCTCGGCTGGTGGCCGTATCGCCGGCTTTCCTGCATGGCCCTGGATTCTTTGCTCCTCCCGTGACGGAATTCGGCAAATAGCGCCGCCGCGCGTGAAACTCTGGAAAGGAGGAGAAGGAAGTAAAAACAGGCGAACGTACGCCGGGGCGCGTGCAACGTCGGCGAAGCTACAGTATTGGTGGCTTTCCTGCACGGCGCTGGATTCTTTGCTTCTCACTTGATCGATCTCGGCGATTAGCCGCGCGGCGGCACGAGGAAACCAGACGCGCAAATCTGACTCCCGTAAGTAGCCTATGCAGTTACTCAGGTAACCCCAGAGGTGGCTCTGCGCTACCCTATGGGCAACCGTTCGGCGCCGGTTCTCGCCTTCTTCCGGCGGCCGCGCGCTCAATGGCTCCGTCGTAGAATCGACAGGTTTTCTAGATTGAAGGAGGATGTCACTAAATTTAGCGAAAATTTGATGTCACGTGACGTCACGAGACTTATGAACCAATTTAGTTTACCCGCTAAATTTAGCGGGAAATTATCTGACCTAATGTCACGTGTCCTTTACACCAATTCAGTTTTCCCGCTATATTTCCCGGGGAAAGTGATGTCACGTGACGTAAACACCTTCACTTTCCCCGCAAAATTTAGCGGGGAAATTGATGTTACGTGGCATGCACCAAATTTTAGTTTCTCCGCCAAATTTAGAGAGAAAATTGACTTAATGTGATGGATGCAGGCACGTAGCCAGGATTCTGTTGGGGGGAGGGGGGGAGGAAGGCGCCCATGACAAAATGCTGTATGAGGGGGAGGGGGAGAGGAGGCCCCAGCAAAATGGGAGATTTCAGGAGGGGGGAGAACCCGGGCCCCACTCTCCTCCCCCTCCCTGGCTACGTGCCTGGACGGATGCACCTGCAGTTTCCCCTCTCAATGTTGCGGTGAAATTGATAGAAAATAAAGGTACTTCTTCACTCCGCGAAACAACGGTTTCACTCTTTCACCAGAGCGTTTTAACGCAATGAATGCGAAATAAGCGTTTTTCCACCACCACCACCGAAACGACGTCTTTATGACTCCTAACTATTTGAAACGACCGCGCTTTAAATACTGCATTTCACGCATTCTAGGACTTGGGAGATAAAGGTCGCGGCCAGTACATTTAAAATGAATGTTAGAGGTATGGGGTAAAATATAGGAACCCCTAAACATTAACTGTGCCGCTAATTAAATATTTAAGGAAATCAGTGTTGGAGCCGTGTCAGTGCTCGAGAATTTCGAAACAAAATGTATTCGCACTGTTAGTACAGTCTTTGTAAGTATTATCGGTATTCGCGTAAGCCTAGAATTGAGCGAGGATGAGAACAGATCTTATGTCACGTTATCGTGGTGGCTCAATTCCTCATCTAACCTCCCTAATGGAGGCAAGTTCACAATGAGGATTCTGTCCCGGACTCTGTTACTTTTCGTGCATCGAACTTTTCTATAATCGTGACGTCACACTCACCACGACGGCCCTGCCAATGATGCCGTGGCCCCCTTCGAACTCGAGCAGACGATCGTAGAAGTTGAACACGGCGTTGCCGTTCGCGTCGGCTTCGATGTTGCCTAGGTCTCCGACGTGCCTGTACGAAAAAAAAAGAAGAATATATATATATATATAGGTATATAATCGGCTAAAAAATAGCCTTAAGGCCTGGTTCACACTTGCGGATCGGCGGGCGAATCTGCAAGAATTCGGCCGCCGGGCGTAGCGTCCACTGTGCATTGCCGCGGCCGATTCCGCTTCAGCGGCAGCGGATCAGACTTGTACAGTACGCATTACAGGTAACCAAATTACTTGTAATCGATTACTTTTTGGAGTAATTTTGTAATCAGTTGATTACTTTTATTAGGCAGTAATCACAAGAGTAATCTGATTACTTTTTGAAGTAATCAGATTCGGTGCTCGTGAAGTAAGCACGGGTTCGGTGCTCGTGAAGTTCGGTGCTCGTGAAGTAAGCACGAGCGATTGCAATCCTGCCAAAGGTACCCTCGCGTGCACGATGCTCGTGTTTGAGCATAGCCCATTTTATTTCTCAACGCCTCTCAAATCGCGAAAGACTCTGATTTGAGGCTTGTCGCTGTCGTTTGTTTCTGTCTGTCGCTCTAGTGGGACACGGGCATAATCACTCGTTTGAGCAAATAATTTTCTTTTTTACGACTGTGCGTCAAGTTTTTGGACAGGCTACTTCATACTCGCGACTCCAGCGTCGTTATTTCAATTCCATCTTTTTTGTTTCACATTTTGGCAGCCAGGCCGCGGTAGCTTTCACTTTATATGCTTGGAAAGGCGGTAGCTCCCCGCATCACTCCTTCACGTTTTCTCTATTCGGTAGCGTTGCTTCCTCTGGAGTGGCAAATACTCAAACCTATAGAATCGTTCAGTATGGAGGATGACATCTACTTTGCATTTGGAAATGTACTCGCGACGCGAGGCGCGGCCTGGGCAGTATATGCGGCATTCGGCGAAGAAACGTGCGGCACGTCGGCGACGACTTTTCTATGCGTATGCTGGAAACGTAGGCTGTTTTCAACGGCAAGTATATGTGCCATCCGTAAGTTGGATGCAAATATCGCTGTGTTCCCAGATCAGTTCGCAAACACAAGACATTAATTTTTTTTTTTTTTTTTGCGTGTGTGTATGTGTTCATACGGGGATAGAGTTGGTTATCTTCAGAAGCTGCACTTTGTAGTATGGATCATGCACTGACGCTATCGACTTTCCGAGGAAAAAAATCTTTAACAAAATGACTAAAACTATTTATACGACTCTATGCTTTGCGAGGTTTAAGATTCCAAAATGTTACAGGGAGCAGAATGCTCGCCTTTACTGGAAAGTGTTTTTATGTGTAAATGTTAGTACGTTAACCGTTCATAAAACAATGATTAGCTCTCTACGAGGTACACAGAAGTAATATAGACTTTTCTTAGCCATGTTATACTTTTAGCGCACTATACACGATAAAAAAAGCTCGTCCGTCTGCTTTCCCGCACAACACTTTGAGAGTCAATCACCGCAACTTACGGAGGCAGCTCAGCGAATGACGATGCCGAAACATATGTTTCGACCAAAAAACGTAATCTGAGTTGTGACATTAAGCAATGCAAAACGTCACGCTTGTATGCTTAATGTCACAACTCAGGCTGCGTTTTTTGGTCTAAACATATGTTTCGGCATCGTCATTCACTGAGCTGCCTCGGTACGTTGCGATGATTGGCTCTCCGAGTGTTGTGCGGGAAAGAAGACGCACAGGCGTTTTTTTTAGAGTGTACCGGTAATCCTCGCAATTCACTCGCAGACTAATCTACGCGTAGATTGCCCCGCAATTCACTATAGGAAAACCGATCATTTGTATTGGTCTAGCCCGTTGAAACAATCAGAAGGTTAATTGGTATCATGCTCGAATGGTCATGCACTCTCAGTGATGAAGAGGCGTCCATACCTTTTGCATTCTCATTGCCTGAATTGGCTAAACTGACTAAAATGACACCAGTGATTGGTGTTCTTCCTGCATCGCGAACTAGTCTGCGTGCAGAAGATTGTGGAAGTGTCGAAGCAAGACTGGCCTGTAGTCATCCTCAGGGGCACCGTGGACGGTGTTGCCAGGGTTGAAGTGGGGACCGGCACTTGGACAGCCTGCAGGGATTGAGACAGGAACAGCGCCTGACTTCATTCGCCTGCCCTGAGAAGCACTGTCACTGAAAGCTAAAGAAACCCGGGCCGTGGCTAGTATGGAGCATCAATACTGCTTCTTAGCCACTAAGATTGCGGTGTTAGCCGATGAGGACTCTGAAGAACGAATCCAAAAGCAAGAGGCGTGACAACAAGCCACACCCTACGTTTCTTGAACAGTTTGTTATATACATACAGTGCCCCCCCCCCCCCCCCCCCATTTCCAAACCAGAAAAGAACTAACTTTATTATTATTACTATTTTTAGCAAAAATAAACTGCACATCGCTGAACGCTCATTCACCGCCCTAATGTAGCGCTAGCGATCTAAACAAAATGCCAAAGTCTCGGAACCAACCAAACTCTCATTAAAAGGTTTTAAGTAATTTTCTGAAAATTTCAAGGGGAGAATGGATTCCGTGTTCGGTAACTTGCGCCATTCTGCTCCATGCATTCTATCGGCCGCCGTTTGCCCCACTGAACATTTAAGAAAATCACTTATAACTTTCGAATAAGATGACGGTTAGTTCCCAAACTTTGCCATCTGCTTGGGGCCTCTGGCGTCTACATTTGGGCGGAGGATGAACGTTCGGCGGTACGTAATGAAGGTTGGCAGTAAAAAAAAAAAAAAAAAAAAAAAAAAAAAAAAACTTTACATTTTTTTTTGGGGGGGGGGGGGGGGGGAGGGGTGGGACTTTCTGTATTTATAGCCAGTGACGTTTCTTGCTTCCTGATTGCTTTTTGGGGGTTCTGACCGCCTCATGTCGCAATCTCATTGACAGCGGAGCGTTGATATACACCAACGCATGTTTACAAACAAACCGGAGCACCCCTAGCGGACGCAAACGGCGCTGTGCATGCGCGATGGAGTGTGGGCAAGAAGCTCGCCGTCGCCCAAAAACAAACCATTAAAATGCGATGTTGTCGGCGTCGGTGTGAGTCACCCTTGCTTTTTTTCGCGTTCGAATTGTTGATTCTACGTCTTCCTGGCCAATGCCTGACTACTTGAGCGGCCTCAGCGAAATTACTGAGGCTCGTTACAGCGCAAAACTTCGCGTGAATAATGTGTCATGCGGCGATTCATTCCGCGTAGACGTCGAAGAATGTGCGTTACAGCCTGATTCGCATGAGGAGATTTCGCTCGCAATTTTCAGTCGCGACGTCGCTCGAGCTGCAAAAGCGTGAACCGTAGCTGAGATGGTCGACATCGATACTGAAAATCGCAAGCAGAATGGGACCAAGTGAATCAGGCATAACAAGTCGGTGATGGCCACTGGTAACAACGGTCAACATCGAATTGTATCTACTGCTTACATCGAGCCTGCTTACCAACCTTCAAACTTAAGTCTTTTGAGGCCTGCGCTTACTTCTTATCGCAATTACCGGGCCAACATTTGGTCTAAGGGCCGGTGTCGTTTAAAATAGCAGACGACAAGCAGAAGCGTTTGAAAGAGCAGACGACAGTTTGAATTATGAGGCGGCCGTTCGAACTTGACGCACTGAACGTAGTCCGCAGGTGGTCCGTGCAGCTTGACGGTTTTCCGGCGTTCATGTCGGAACAAAACAAATGAATCTGATGACCCCAAGTATCCGTGAATTCAACCCAAGTGCTTTCCACCCAAACAATCGTGGTCCGACGGTGTCTGGTTTTCCATTCTCACGACACATATCCACGTTCTCGAACGAACCGAGCACATGAAAACTGACCTTCAAACCTTTCTCGACTCTTTTGGCACAGCCCCAGTCGCGGCATTTTGACGAGAAGGCACGTTTTTGTCAGGTTATTTTCAAAACAACGCAGGAATACACGTCTCACATGGGGACTTCCGTCTACAGCCCCAGACCGGAAGTGCGCCCGACGCGCCACCACCGCGCCGTGACATAACAGAAAGGAGTTCGTGTATATAAGCTGCTCAGGACTCGCGTCTTTTCAGCTTTTTCGATGACTATGCGGTGAGCAAGTTCGTGAGCTTCTTGCACAGGAGTTGCAGTGACGTTGAACCGACGGTTCCAACTTTCACGAGCGGCTTGATAGCCGAGTTGTATAACTTATTAAAATAGCTAACATACGAGTGAGTGACTACAAAAAAAGTTATCGGGGTTTTCTTAACCCTACTGCAAAGCCCCAGTGTTTTTTTCTGTAGTCTTTGATACGTACTTTAGCTGTTTAATATGTTAAATCCCACAGGCATCAAGCCTCTCATAAAAGTTGGGGCCGTCAGTTTGACGCGAGTGCGCTGTCTGTCGAACTGAAATTTTGAAGTGTCCTATAAGTGACAAAGGGTGTAAAGACTACACCTTTTTCTTTTTAGGGTGTGCGGCATTAGCCGACAGGAACACAGATGAAGAAATCATGATGCAAGACGCGGGAACACTGTTCCGAATCTTGGAATTTCAGCCGAACTCTACAGGGTGTCACAAAAGAAAATTTACACGGTCTTTTTAACCGCAAAAATAAACTAGGCATCGCCGAACGCTCATTCTCCGCCCAAAGGTAGAGCTAAAGGTCACAACCAGATGCCAAAGTTTCAGCCCGATCCGATAACTTAATCAAAAGTTATAAGTGATTTTCTGAAAATTTCAATGGGAAAATGGCGGCCGACGGACTTTTCAAACACATGGGGCTCTATGGCACTAGAAACCGAAAACGGGCAAAAATGGGCTCCATTTTCCCATTGAAATTTTCAGAAAATCACTTATAACTTTTGATTAAGTTATCGGATCGGGCTGAAACTTTGGCATCTGGTTGTGACCTCTAGGTCTACCTTTGGGCGGAAAATGAGCGTTCGGCGATGCCTAGTTTATTTTTGTTTTTTCTGTGACACCCTGTATATGCTCCGTTGACGTTTTAAAGAGGCACTCAAGTGGATTCTGATATCGTATACTTAAGGCGATAACTCAATCTAAGCGCTCTAAAGGCTTATTCACACACTTGCGACCTACTCCGACGCAACCTGTTTTTAAGCCTCTTGCGAGTGCTTAGGACCGGCAGCGCAGCAGCAGGGACGGCGGTCGTAAGCGACTTAAAAGCCGGTTATGTCAATTGCAACGCACTCGAACGCAAGTGTATGAACCAGCCTTTAAAACCGGGCTCACACTGCTCGCACATCATACACAAGACAGTCTGCGAAGAGATTCGAACGCGAGTCACCGCGAGATGCGTGCTTCGAATGCCGCATGGCAATGATGTTCAAGAAGGAAACATGGCAGGCGGCATTCGAACCGCGGATACTGCGGTGACTCGCGTTTGCAGACTGCCTTTTGTATGATGTACGAGCACTGTGACCCCGGCTTGAGAACATAAAAAAACGTAATTACGCTGGGCCGAATTTTCTTTTAAAAGTGTAATCCAAGATCGTGACACGTCCCTCTTTGTGCGCCTTGGAGCAGACACCAGGGTGCCCTGTGGGACGTCCCTTTCAAACGGTGATTTTCTTCAAAATATAACGCGCCTAAAAAGAGCAACAAAAGCAACGTTCGGAATCTCCACGCAATTAACTATTTTCATTGGTCAAATTTTATGGAAATGGTAAGGATCCCGAAAATAGACCGATCTAGAAAAAAAAAAAAACAGAAACATAATTGCCCGTGCATTTTTATTGGTGCGAGTTAAGTAGGGCGTCTTGCCATCCAGAACTGGTCACTTATATCGACTGAAGCCCAAGGAACAGTCTGCCTTCACAAACAAGCGTCTACAAAACGCACCCGAGGGCCCCTTTAAGACCGACCGCGGTCGAGGCTGAAAAGACATCCGATGGAGCCAATATCAAGCAGCTCCAAAAGCGTATATCGTCGTGGCGTCCGTCGTCTTTGGGGGTTTGCAATATATCAAACGGCTAAACACATCCGACGGACAACGAGTGCGTCGTGATCCTGCGTTTATTTCGCGAGCGATTGGTGTAGCCGGTGAAAGTAGAAACAGAAAGACGACGATCGCGATGACAATGAATTTTTGGCGCTTCCTGACTTAAGCGAATTTGATGGTTGACTGAAACAAACAACTATACAGCGTGGGTGAAATGAATTGAACGTACTTTAAACTGACCGCAGAAATCGGTTTCTGAACTTATCGTCCTGGAATTTACTACAGAGGTGCCTGAAGTTGGTAAAAGCTTTCGGTAAAATTGTGGAAAGATTGGCTCTCCCGAGCAAATCAATAAAAATCTGAAACTATGTTTTTCTTATATTTTGCATGCACAGTAAAAAAAAAAAGAAATAGTATGTTACTGTGGCGTTTATTTGGGACAAACGAAGTGAAGAATAGGTATGCCAATTTTATTTTCTTTCCCTTTCACAAATTGTTCAATAGTAGTAAACGCCAGGAGAACTCATAACAATTTTCTGGTGATCAGGGGTTTCCTCAGGAATTGAAATTAGGAGGGGGGGAGGGGGGGGGGGGGGCTGTACACCGGCCCTAGGAGGTGTGTAGGGAAATCACTGTTGGTGATTTTGAGATAAAGGGCTTAGCTATAATTTTTCCCTAAACAAAACCATTTTTTTTAGGTTTTATATATTTATGCTCTCAATTAATGAATGCACCAGCTTCGAGCCCCTCTGTATAGTAAATCCCAAGGCAATAAGTTAAGGAACCGATTTAGGCGGTCAGTTCAAAGTTCGCTCAATCCATTTCGCCCATGCTGTAGATGATGATGCTAAGGTGTAACGGACGAGGAGGCAGTTGAGTCTTCAAGCGGGTTCAGTGCACGATGCGAACCTCGTCCTGGTTATAGGCTGAAACAACCAACCATACACGATGAAGATAACGATGGGACACATAACGAGCCACAAGACCCAACTGGAAGTTCAAACGGGTTCAATGCTCGATGCACGCTCTATACTGAGTGTAGGTTGAAACCGACAACTACATACTACGAGGATGACGATAAAACGCGTAACAGGCGTAGGGACCTAATGGCCAGTTCCAACGGGTTGAATGCACGAAGCAGGCCGGCGCAGGAGGTGCGACACGCCTGGTTGCCCGCATGCGTGCCAGAAGCCACACGCGTATGTATATATATATATACCTGCGCTCAGGTCGCCGAACCGATGCACGTGGAAGCCGTGGTGGCCCGGGCTCAGCCCGGTCACGTTACCCAGCACCTGGACCTGCACGTACGGATTCTGAAAAAGAAAAAACGAAAAAGAAAAACGGCGACACATTTTAGGCGGATAAAGCTTTAAACTCAGCGCGGCTCGATCCCTGTGTACTCCGTTCACCTCGAAACTCGGAGCGCTATGGAAGCAACGTGATCGTTGGACCAATCACGCGTCTGTCTTTCGCCATGTAATCACGCTTGCACCCAATCCCACGCGCAGTGGGCGGGGTCAGGTGATGATAGGGAGGTGGTGGATTGGTTTGGCTAGGAAGTAGCTTTCACGGCGCTTTGAGTTTAGGAGCGAACGGAGCATATCGAAGTTTCTTCAGTGCAGCTGTGGGCAGATTATTTACGACTTCCACATAGCATGCGCTGTCCAAGATTAGGAAAGAAAAACGAAATAACAACGACGGGAAAAGTACTAACTGACAGCGGGAAATATATATATGTATATAAAGAGAGTTAAATGCACGCCGTAAATATTATTCGCAACTGACTGTGGCAGCATCCTGGGTCCAAAATAAGGAAAATTGATGTTGATATAATTTCGATATTATTTGAACAGTTCAGATTTACCCCCCTGACAACATCGATTGAGCTCGTACATCCTAACGAAATAGAGAAACGCTGAGAAACAGTCGGGGTAACTAAAGCATGACTGAGAGCTTGAATATTGAGAACACTTACGATAAGAACGTATGCGTAATGAAAACGTGAGTTTTGTGATGAACGGAGGCTTCGTACAAAGAAGGATCCGTATGACTGAGGTATCCGTTATACGTGAAAAAGACCCTCAACTGGTCGATATGAATTCTCAGCCCACCGCTGGAGCGTGGCAGACGGCGTAAATGTAAACCCCTGAATTGTTTATTTTTTTATTTTTAACGTCGATGCGTTAAAAATTTTGAACATACTGCGCGAGGTTTGATTGTGGAACTGCTGCGGCATTAAAAGCTGCAGTACAAATTCCTCGCTCGTTGAGCTTAACTTCATCACGAACGCCTTTTCAAACCGGGTCAGCTTTAGATATGTAGTAAGGCACCTTATACGCGGCGTTTTAATGGCGCTCTTTTAATCTACATATTCATAAAGAGAAGCGAACGCTGTCAGATCCGACACTAATAATTTGCTTACCAGCCTCTTCCTTCCTACTTCACTTCTCGATGGACGTTTGATAGCGATTTTTATGAAGAGCGAGGAAACGCCCGGCCATATTAGCTTGCCTGCAGGCTCCTCTCATCCAGTTTCAGTGTCAAAAAAGGCGTTCACCCTTTTTACCCTTTTACCGCACGCATGACTATTGAAGATTTCGATATCATGATCGAAATGTTCGGTGCTTATACATGCGATCGTAAAACATTTTGATACCGGGATCGAAACGTCGAAACTAAAAATAAAAATAGAACAGTTATTTGGGTTACAAATGAATCGCCGGGTGGTGCACGTGAAGGAAGTTCCAAGTGTATAATATTGTTATACGTTATAATGGCCTACTCTCCGCAAGAAAAAAAATATAACTAGCGCCGCTGTCTATATACAGGCCTATAGACAACCTCATTCTAAGAAAAGGAGAAATTTGAACGCAAATACGGTGCTTTCTTCTTTCCTTTCCGTTCATTTCAGGTTCAAGGAGCAGGTCGAAATATCCCCACCAGAATGGCGTCATTAAAACGTCGACGTAAGACTTTGTCATCCATTAAATATACAGTGATTGAACACGAGATAAGTTGAGGAGCTCTGTATACTTGCGTATAGCCGGCTCCTATAGGCTCTGATAGATTGAAGATCGCAACGAAAGTACTTTACTAAATCTACAAGTGCATTGTTTTTGTAGCATCGCAAGGTCCTATACATCATGCCATCTTAGGATGGACCGCAGAGGATGCTATACGAACCGTCGAAGCCATTCCAAGGCCGTGTGACTGTGTCACGTGACCTTCCAGAGAGTAGCAGCAAGACGCGGGGAGTGTAGTTAAACGACCGCGATTGAACACATTTGCGTCTGAGTGCGTTTGACCGCGTTGCGTCGAAAAACAGCTGCGAGAACCGTTCTTTGTAAAAATCGTGGTAACCAAATCAAGGAGTAGCTTGGCAAGCAGCATAAAAGTGCGAATGTCCTCGTTACTCGCAGCCGCAACGCGGTTGAACGCACTCAAACGCTTTCAGACGCTGCTGTGCGATTGGGCCTTGATGCGTTCCCTGCGCTGGATTGGCTGGGATGACCCGCTAAGGTCCATCGTATGAGGCGAAACGGAGCTCAGTATTGGTGAGCGTGCATAAACAAGCTCGTAAGGCACCGTCGAAAGGGAGCGAGCGGAAGTCATTTGGGCCGCGAGAGATGGCGCGTGTTTGTGAACGCAAAGTTCGTAGAGTTTACGCCCCGAGACTCGAGGTGCGGCATCTTTCCTTACGTACTTCAGCCTTTTCTCTCCACTTTACGCCGGCTTCCGGGTCCCAGTGATTGTGCTCCCCAAATTGCCAGGCTTTCTCGGCGCTAAGGAATGTACATTTAGTCTAAAAATAGAGTTTTGTTTTGCTTATATAAGAGCCTTCTTTATAAAACGTACCAACGCGAAAAACAGGAGAAACGTTTCTATAACGAGCTGTGGGTAAAACAAAAAAAAGTTAGCTAGTTCAGTTGCGTGTGCAAGGTGAAGCTTTCGTAAAAACAAATGTTTCCGCTCGACGCCTCGTACAATTCGAAGAGACAATTTTTGCAAAGCCGAGCGTTCTTGCGCCTCTGCTCGTTACCGGAGCCGCGCGCAGCTTACCGTGCTCTGTTTGATCTTACGTTGGTCCGTAGTGGACTCTACGAGCGATCAGAGTCTATGCAGTGTCGCGTGACATACGGGAGGGGCACAGCGACGCGCGGGACGCCGAATCACGTGACAAATTTCACAACACCGGATTGGATGGGACAACTCGTATAGAGTTGGCTGCGTATCATCGCAAGGGCAGCGGATGCGAGGGTCTGTAGACGTCTCGCCTCGAGGATGATTGCTTTGGAGAGGCTCGCCAAGGTCATTCTTGATGCCATTGTTGGCTCCGGCTTGTAAACACAAAGGGACACCGGAGATAAGATTTCTTTTACTTCCTACGTTCGGCTTATTATAGAAACGTCCATTGTCTACTGCATTAATCAGTTGGTGGTCGTCGTGGAATCTCTCGGAGAGTGGGAGCACACTTTTCGCTATACGAGACGTAGCTTTCTAGAGGTAAAAGAATCGCCCTCGTTTGGTGATACACCAATATTTGCGAAACAGGCGTTTATTTTTTTCTTCGCTCTACTTCTTACGGTTGACTGGCGATTAGTATCGTTTGCAATTCTTAAAACATTTTAGGAGACAACTGAACATGACAACGTGTGATTCTATGTAAATGCACATTGCAAGCATTTATTTTCTTGTAAGGTGCCTACTACCTACTACTTCGAAATATCGACTACAACATAATCCGACATTAGGAAGGTTTAAGAAAAGATACCTTTCTGTACTTTTGTGTTGTATCTTGCTAGTTTTATGCAAACTATAAGCCGTTTTCGTGTGACGGTTGCGTGTAGATGAAGTCATTTGCTTTTTTGGCCCAACTCAGCTACGTCAAAATTCAACATGGCAGCCGTTACGAAAAACGACCGTTGTGAAAGTTGAAGGTCTATGTGTTTGCCAAGAATGTTTAAATAATGATGCCTTCAGACGAAAATAAAGGAACAAAGTTGCGATACATAGGTAATTTCTAGCCTCAAAAATCTGAACCTTGGTACTGCAAAGTTTCCAAAAGACGAGGGTAAGTAAATACGTTATTTCTGCCTTCTGAACCAACTAAAAAAAAGGAATGCGAAAGTGTACCTACACGCAGCGCATTCCTACAAGAACCGCGCCCCGTCTTCCCATCGGATACGGCGCTCCGGCTGTGATATCACACTCCTCCACTGCGCAGGCGCGGTGAACACCGCCAGCTCCAGGCCTTGCGTGACGATGCATCTGCGTTGCTGTGCTTTGCTTTGTGTTTTATTTTTATTTCTGAGACACGTCCGCTTTCACCTTGAGCGCCCCGCCGACTTCCGTGACAAAGCATCTGATATGTCGCATCGCAGCCAATGGAAACTATGACGCGTTGTAGCTGCCGTTTATTTAGATGCATGTTTTTCGCAGTCACAACCAACACCGGCTGCGCTTCATGGGGCAGTTAATGCTTTCGCACTAGCAAAAGTAATGGTAGTATTTACTTCCGTCACGCGGCAAAGGAAATGTCATTTCCATCAAATTATATCACCTGACCGGCAAGTCAGCGCGCGCTACTTCTAGCCGAGCTCGGTGCACGAGCGACGCTCGTAGTCAGGATCGCGAGCTGATTCGCCGATCACATTATGTCATTCGATGGAGATGACATTTACTTCGCCGCGTGGAATGAGATAAAGGGGATTGGGCTAGCGCACGCCAGCTCAGAGCACGTGGAGCGAAAGCTGGCGCTGAAGAACCGAGGAACCTGGGTTCAATCCCCACCCCTGCCCGTTTCAATCTGGATGAGCATCGTACCGGCGTGCGGACGTGTATCGCTACTGCGTGGTGCACTTTAAAGAGCCCAGGCTGGCGGTTGTACTGCACTGGCTAAATTGCTTATCTACAGCTGGGAGACTCGTCGCCCGTTGAGTCAGATTAACTTCAGGCTGTATGAACATTCACACAACACAATCTGCCTGGAGTATTACACATATGAATGCGACTAAACCACAAAAGCCAGAGCGAAAAAAAGAAAAAAAGAATGATAGCTTTGACTGCATTGCTACAGAAAATTGTCCACGAGTAAAAGACCGGTGATCTTAGTGGCGTGGAATATATATGTTTCAAAACACTTGCGGTAACACGCCATCCGCTCGCCATGGGGCAACGTTGCTACTCTATGACGGCTACAGTTGAGTCTGTACTCCATCTCCCAAATGTCTGCAGCAACGACAAAGGCAGACGCGGGTGAGCCTATAGCTCAGCTGAATGCTTTGGTTTGTACGAAAACTCGTGCAGAGGAGGCATTTTCCAAAGCTACGCGATCGTGCTAATGCCTTTGCCGGCACTGCAGATGCTCGTGAGATAGAGTATAGTGTCACTGAACAGGTTTTGCTGTATCAGTGACACTAGTTGAGTCAGCAGATGAGCGGGAACGGACGCCAAACAGATTTTGCTTTTAATTTTTTTTAGTAATTAAGATGGCTTGTCGTAGCAGACTATGAGTGTGCTCTCGTTGTGAGCTCGCGCTGTGTGGGCAGCGCACTCAAATATGGGGTGAGTGCCCCTACACGCCATGACGTGCCATTGGATCGCTCACCTCCTTGATGAACTCGACTCTTCCCCTCACCGGACCACCGTTGAGGACAGCGACACCTCTGTAGATGGGCTTGGCATCGTGCGTTTGGCAGGTGACCGCCGTCAGCGCGAGCAGCAAGAGCGACGGCACGAGCATGTCGACTTCGGCCTGATCTCCGGTCGATTTCGCCTGGTTCGAAAATCTCAGAGATCGAGGCGACCCGGTCAAGTCGATCGTTGCCGTCGGATAGGACCTGTTCTCTTTTCTCCTTTTTTTTTGTTTCCCCAACAGCTGGCACCCTCTCGTGGACTCTGGACAGCTTTCGCTCACCACCGCCTGGCAGAGACTGCCAGCTGACTGGTGCGAGTTTGTTCGGCAACACCCTCACTCACCCTCTTGCCTATACCAGGCGGCACGTGTTGCGGAGTTCGTTCGGGTCCGGGGGGGATGGTGTAATATTTTTATCGCTCGAAAGCTGGGGCGACACGACTCTTTCGCTAGTTAACTAGGCTAAACATTAATTGAGAGCGAATGTGATTACAAACTTTGAAAGTTTCTCGTCGAATTTCCCTGTTCGTAATCTTTTGCGAAGTCGGCGTGACTTCTTGAATGGCTCTGCGTTCTTGTTTCTTTTTTACTAAGTTGATTTTGTTTTGTTTTGTATTTGCTCTATACGTCGGAACCGGTTAGCTCTAATGATGGAATCCACGCGACGATTCCTTATGGGTCGACGTTTTCCGTGTTTGGCGTTCTCTCGCTCGAGAGCGGGAAGAGGCTCAGCGGAGAGGGTGGAATTCGACGACGCGTCTCGGCGGCGTGGAGATGCGCCGACTTTCTCGAGGTCAACCGCTTGCGGTGTATACATATACAACACAACGTAAAAAACTTACCAGGGGCTTTTTCTTCTTTTTTTTTTTCTTCTTTCTCTTCCTTTTTTTTTTTTTTTTTTTTGAGTAGTCAAATAATTTGAGTCGCTGATAAGGCCTATATCGGTGTTTGAGGTTATCGAGTTTTTGCGCCCACCTTGATCGGACGTATTCCTCAGTGTTGGCGGAAACTCGTTACAGGTAACGGCGTTACCGGTAGCGCGTTACATTTTTTTTTCAGTAACGTAGCAACCTACTCGTTACATTTTGAAAACAGTAAGGAAAAACGTACTTAGGTTATTTATTTCGAGTAACGGGTAACGTAGTTACGTTACTCGTTACATCTTCGTCACAGGACCTGAAAGCACTTAAATTTGTTTCGTGTTTCTATACCTCGTTTCACATCAAGTCCAGACGGAGCCGGCGCCACGAGCTGATGGAACCGACCAGACAGCTTCGAAGGGGCGCCATCATGGTGATTGTCATGTTTGCGTACCTGTTCTATCATCGCTAAACTAATTATAAACAAAAAAACGCCCAGTGAGCCGTGCTTCTTACACTGTTTGATTGGTACCATTAACACGTAGCGTCGGATGCGTGTGGACTTAAATTGCACTCATTCCAGATAACTTCAATATTTTGCATGTATTTTCCCCACGCAAAAAGTTCCACTTAAGAAAACCCCCAAAGCCTACGCCCTTTGTACCAATGTAAAAAAACTCAAAAAAAAAAAACATACACAAAAAATGTTGTTATCGTTAGTTTAATGAATAAAAATGAATGCAAGAGTAACGTGCGTTAATTTTTATCGGTAGCTGTAGCGCGTTCGTTTTATTTTGAGTCAACGCAGGTCGGTAACGCGTTCCTTTACTTTGCAAGTAACGAGTGAAGCATTTAGTTGCTTTTTATTGGTAACGTCGACAACATTGCGTCTGCTGACAAAGAAATATAAAATCGCACTCTAAAAAAAAAAAAAAAGGACTGTGAGATTACTTTTTTCCAGGACACGGAGGCAGCCAATCACTGCAAGCAGTATAGAAGGTTCCCAGAAAATGACACACCTCAGAATGTGATCATATCTGATTGACGCAATGTTCGGAGGGACAATGAGCAAGTGGAACGTTATAAACATCATCCTTGTGCACATCCGATTTTTTTTTTTTTGTCTAGTCATATTCTGAGTTTTTTTCTCCACCACACTGAGACCCTTTAACTGCTACCCGCGATTGGCTGCCCTGTCTTCTCCAGGACTGTAAACTCGCGGACGTTCTTTTTCACGATACACTCGTTTCTTTCTGACACAGCGTTTTGCTCGTGTTCATTCGACGAAACAGCGATTAAACGCGACTATCGGCCGAACACTGACACAGCGTTTGTAACCAATCGGGTCCCCGCGCTCGATCGAGGGGGAGATGACGTAAATAATTCAGTTCACAAAACCTGGCGTTTGGAAAATACCAAGCTGTATACGGTGGCATACAAACTGTACAAAGTGTTCCTTATAGTTCGATCTACTCCATAATATTTATGGCAGGGGCCGAGAAAGCGAAGAAAAATGGAAATGATAAATAAAAGTATTGTCCGCTGTCCGGGTTTTGCGTGGGAGGTTTGTAATCGGTCAACTCTGCTTAATAAAGACACCAACGGGCACCCGGGTGTCAACGGCATTTGCAGCTGCGATGACATACTTCGCAGCCGCAAAATGTTTTGTGTACTATTCAAAATCTAGAACGCAGCGCAGCAGCGGGTTCGCGCGGAGTTCATCAAAGTATAAACATAGGTTTTCACACGATGCTGTTGACATAGCCCTGACGCTAAGCGCGCGCCGACAAGAAGCTTCCGCGATATTGCTTTCACAACAAAAAGACTCCAAGATATTTTTTTGAAGGCGATAGTTGTTATGTATTTTTTTTTTTTTTACCACTGGGAATGACGGCAATTGCCGTAGGGAGTAGGCCGGCCGTCGTCGATGTCGTCAAATACTCGAAAAATGACACACGCCACCGCGGAGCTCTCAACATTCGATCATCTGCGTGAATGAATCAACTTTATTTCAGGAATGGGTTCCATATACCCCAGTTGGAGCCCCTAGTCCGGGGCCCCATACGTGGCAGCCACCGACTCGGCACAGTCCACCAGCCATTGCTGGCCGGTGACCATGTCATCGGTCAGCCGCTCTTCCTGGCCGATCCACACGACGGACTGATTCGCGGACGGATCGATGACGTGACGACATGTTCGCGGTTCGTCCGTCTCCCAAGCGCATTCACATGAGGGAGACGATGACCAGACGCCAGCGAGGGCGGACGGAACCTGTTCGCCACCCCACAGTGCCGCGAAACTCGAACAACGCACCGCGGCACTGTCGTCCAAGAGAGAAATCAACGTTTGCTACCGTGATAAAGAATCGTACACCGCTGTTGCGTACATATCGAGACAAAACACCTTGATAGGCTTCGCGCAAAGCGCTACTAGCTTTACTAACCCAAGGCATGACAGTGACACAGACATGGTCCTCCTCGAGAAGGGTTCGGCGTAGAAGCGACTAATACCCCTGTTACACGGGCACACTTAACCGCGGTTAACTCAGCTTAACTGCTGTTACGCGGCACCACTGATACCGCACTATACTCTCGGACAGCTATTTCATAAGAAGTGAAGAGCGCACGTGCACTGCTTCGATGGATGATCAAGATGCTCAAGCGCACGTTCGCCCATAGCTTTGACTGCATAGCCGCAGTATGTTGTCGGCAAATATTGTGCGCTAACTGTGTCTTAGCCTAACTGCAGCTAAATGTGCCCGTGTAACAAGGGTATAAGTTCTGTGCTCGCGGAGGGGCGTTTGGAGATGCCTTCACGCACTGCGCGCTCGTGCACAACACTCAAGCACACCACATGCCACAAGAAAGGTCTTGCTCGGTGAAAGCCAGATTGGACGTGCAAGAATTATCGCGGCGTGCTAGACGAGTTTTGACGGAAGCTTTACAGTTGTATCGTTACATTCTACCATTACCAGACTAAACGCTTTTCAAGTCAATTTCCTACCAAACATACGCGAGTGAAAAGGCCCTCGACTTTATCAGTCTGCGTGTCTGCGGACGAGGCGCGGTATGCAGGAATCGGTGACGTGCTAGTCACGTGGTACACGGTCCGGGGACGAAGATTGCAATTCGGTCCGTCGTGTGAATCGGCTATCTCAGGAGGTGGGGGAGGGGTTGGGGAAAAACGAGACAGAGGGAATGGCCTGGCATTGCCAGACCATGTGGAGAAGGATGGGATGGTCGAAGCAGTGCGGGCACTCGGGCGGACTGCGGGAGGAGTACATGTAAGAGTAGAAAAGGGGCGTCGGGAAAGTGTTGTTTTATAGTTGACTCCATAGGACGTTCTGTCCGAGAGTAAGGGGAGGGCGAGGAGGATGATAATGTTGGATCGATGCGCAGCTCAGCTAGGTGAGTTGAGTATGTGAAAGGGGCTGGTCGGATGGTGGCAGAGTATTCCACAGGCGCCTTCTCGAGAGTTCTCGGGCTAGCGCATGGGCGCGTTCATTATATCGTACAGGTGACGGCTGCGTACCCAGGCACCCAGACCAATGGGAAAGTGTCGCAGGTGGAGGATAGGAAAGAGTCGAGTAGGGACGCAGTGGAGGGATGTAGGATTTTGTAAAGGAAGTGCCGACAGGCCGTCTGGGAGTCAATCAGAATGTGAAGGGGGGTGGAAGGAGAGGAAAGGATTGTTTTGGCGATCGCACGCTCCTCCAGGAGGGACACGTCGTGAGACCACGTTTCGTTGCAGCGTGGACCGGCCTGAGGGCACAATTTACGACGACCGTGATCCACCCGCGTGCTTCCTACGCGCTGGCCTCCGTAAAGAGGGCTCAAACGGTATCGCAGGGATACGCGCGTCGGAGGTAGCGGGAGCGATGGTCGCGTCGGGCCGATTGACGGATAGGATGCATATGGCTGGGAATAGGAGCCACAATGAGTTTGGCACGCGCACCGGTAAAGAGACCCGCAGCGGTGAGGGAAGCAGGACAGGGCGGGAGACCGAGGGTTGCAAGTAGACTCTGCCCCTGAGCCGTCGAGCGCAAGTGCGTTATCTGGGCAACCTAATGCGGTTTTATGAGCTCCTCCAGGATGTTGGTTACCCCAAACCGCTCTAGGCAAACGGTGGGTGTGCGAACGGGGAGACCGAGCGCCAGTTTCTGCGTCTTCCGTATTAGGGTAGAGATAGCTTTTGTGCTCGATCTGTATGAGGTTCTCGTGTATGAGGTTGGTGGTAGAGTAAGCATGT